GTTTTCACCAGTGTATGTCCAAGTAACAATATATTTTGAGGTTTTTCAGTGTAGATTGGATTGGCATTTACATACACATTACATTTTTGCTGGCCATTTTGTAAATTTGATATGTGCCACTGTAATCAAACCACCAAATTATGTTCAGAAAAAGTTGAAATGGAAATTGCAAAATGTAGCAGAGTACAAATAACAAATGTTGCAAGGCAGAGCAAATAGGAGTAAAATATAAATACTAAAAGGATACCGCTATTTAAAGGCAAAATAAGCTGGAATAGGGTGCCTCTCGTTGTAGGAACTACAATTGCTGAACCCGCGATTTCTGTCTAAATAGCTGGTGGATAAATTAGCCTCAGCTAACAACGAGAACTAACCTGAGCCCAGTTACCACCCTTCCCCTCTTATTTCCTTACCCCCCAATAGCCCCTTGTTGCAAACTAACGAACGTGCATATGTGCAGCTTAGTGAGTTGTGCGAAGTGGGTGGAAGTAATCTATTTAGACAGAGATCGAGGGTTCGATCCTACAACATAAAGAGAGGCACCCTTATTTTGCTTTTACATAGCGGTATCCTTTTAGTATTTATATTTTACTCCTATTTGCTCTGCCTTGCAACATTTGTTATTCGTACTCTGCTACATTTTGCAACTTCCACTTCAACTCTTGAGTGTAGGGCTGTAAAGAAACAGTGGTTATTACTTTCCCTTGTATCATTCAAATTTTTTGCCAGAGGGTGAACCATTGTAGTTAGTAATACCCAGATTCCCCCCGTCGTCCGTTACATTAGGATAGGAGTGATGGGATTCAGCTGAGATCAATAAGTACTACTCATATTCATGTATTGTAGTGAGATAACTACTCCACAGGGAACCATGCCCTATTGCATTTAATAACTTCCTCAAATTTCTATTGTAATTTCGCTGTTGATAGGAATGTGTAGATATCAACTCCATTCTATAATTCGATATCAATTCCACAAAACAGATTATATCTAATTTAAGCAGTAGTAAAATGGCATGAAAGGGATTGATTTGATAAGACAAACATTAATTTCCATCTCCTCCCCATTAGCCCTTCAGGAATCACCCAGTTCTGTCTAAGGTGTTTTTAGAAAAAAAACGGAAAAAAAAACACTTTAGACACAAGAGGGTAATTCCTAAAACCTGGACTCGTAGGAGGTACTTGAGGACTGGGTTGGAATCCCCTGACCTAAGGTATTGGGTTTACAATAAGGCTTATACTTGGGTTGTTTGTGATTAGTTTAAATAATTTGGTACCTATACACATTGCTTAATGGAGAACTATTATTTTGCAGTGGGTAGAAACAATTAGAGATTTCTAGCTTTGTACGCTCTCTCCACTCAGTGCACCTTCTTATCTATGTTCATGTGGGTTTCACCATTATGTCTGGTTTATTTTAAGTCTTCTCAATAAGCACATAAAGTTTTTCATTTACTTAATTTTTTTGTTTAGTCAATTCCCAGGTGTGTTCCTTCTGTAAAGACGCACAGTTAGTTATTGTATATTTAGTATTTAGAAGGACACTCCAGAACTTAAAGAAAGCATGTCAAACTCATAGGCTTAAATTTTCATAGAAACAAAGGTTTATTTTGAAAAGTACAGTATAAAAAAAAAAACAGCATCACCCTCTTCTAAACCCCAGCACCCTCCTCTACTAAACCCCAGCCCCGCACTCCCCCCCTATATTAAATCCCCTCTCTACTAAACCCTGGGCCCTGTTTAAAAAAAACAAAAACACAATATTGCCCAACAAACAGACTCCACTCACATTGCCGCTGGCAGGATGCGACTCCGAAGTCCAGGCTCTGGCATACCTCCAATGGCGCAGCCGCACCCTGTCTCAAAGCGGATCCTCCCGCTACTCCTTGAAACCCTGTGAAGGTGGAGCATGTTAACATCAAGTCTGAAAGTGACGTGGCATTGCGTGCCTCTGTGCACCTCCAGGTCCTCCACTGTCCAGTCGCAACACTGACCAACACACACTCACTGATAGACACACGCACTGACAGACAGATACACATACACTGACAGACACACGCTCACTGACAGACACACTCACTGACAGACACAGACACACAGTGACAGACACACACGCACTGACAGACACACACAGTGACAGACACACACAAACTCACTGACAGACACACACTTACTGACAGAAACACACACACTCACTGACAGACAGACATACAAACACTGACAGAAACACACACACACATACACTGACAGACACACACACACATTTACACATTCTTGCATACATTCACAAATCATTTTATTTATTGCTCCTTACCTTTGGGAGCTGGTGTGGGGCCTCTCCCTTGGGTCCAGTGGGTATCTTCTCTCTGGAGGTCTCCCTTACTTCTACTCATTGCTCCCTCACAGTTTAGGGATGCCGGGACGGAATTACGTTAGATACCGGCACACAGCATCACTACAGAGGACGTGCGCAATGGAGCACTGAGGAGCAGGAAGACTGAGCTCCCTCACGGCCGTCAGCGTCCTCTCCTCCCGGCTTGGTAAATTTTAGCCCAGAGAGCTGCGGGTTTGACATGTTAAGGCAGAGTAGGCACCTGCAATGTCGGGAGAACAGGTGTCTACTCTGCCTTAACATGTCAAACTCGCGGCTCGCTGGGCCACAAAGATATTCATTGTGGGCCGTGCGTTTGCCATGCTTGCCTTAAAGCAATTCAACTTGCTGAAATACCTAATGTCTGAAGAGTGTGCAGATTTTGATAGAAGTTGTCACTTCTGTAAAGTAACATTCTTGCACCCCCATCAGACAACTGGTCATGTTACTTCCTGGTTGTTTAGATCGGTGGAGTTAAACTCAAGAGACAGGCATTTAAATGTGTTGCAAAGACTATTCATTCAGCTGCAGTATGGGAGACTGTGGTTGGGCAGACAGGTCTGGACTGGGTTGGAAGGGAAGGCTTGCAAAGGCTGCAGACATGCGAACCGCAGCTTTTGCAAGCTGTGTTTAGATATACCCCCAATTTTAAAAAAAATGCATAATTAAATGCATGCACTTTTTATTGATGCATATGTACTTAACAGTGATTGATTTTTGTTTTGTTGTCTTTTTATTATTATTTGGGCAGTGGAGAGTCCCTTTTAAAGTTGAGGTATATTCCTGTGGTTATACCAAAAAGAGAGTTACCAAACCACTAAAATTATATATAAAAAAGGCAAACCTACTAAAAGAAAGTGTGCCCTCTAAAACACCAATATAGTAGTAAAACAAAAGACAAGCAGTAGGAATGCAAAATTAGTGAAAATAATCACATCTAGATTGTAAATAAATTATACAACCTGATGATATTGATAGCGTGATGACAAATTTCATTGATAGCGTGATGCCAAATTTCGTCCACTGGACTTCCTCAGGGATTGGGAATCTCAGATTGAGATTCCCAATCCCTGAGGAAGTCCAGTGGACGAAACGTGTTGGATACTGGGGACTCTTTTGTTGCAATCTCCACCCTTAAGTGGATTATATGCTGTTTTATTACTTGGATTTTTGATAAAGAAGACCTACTCTATATCCTTCTGAAGACCATTTCTGACTGAGGATGATGGGCCTTATATTTACTCATATTTTGTGAGTTCAATATATTCTCCTTGCGTGTTCACATTGTTATACTTTTATTGCTCTATGTGTATTTTGCATATTTTTTTATAGATATTTGTCATCACGCTAACAATATCATCAGGTTGTATAATTTATTTACACCCTAGATGTGATTATTTTCACTAATTTTGCATTCCTACTGCTTATATTCCTGTGGTGTTGAGTATTGGCTGGACCAGTCAAATTGCCTCCTAGCAGCACAAAATCATTATACTTTGCTATTATTATTATTATTATAATTATTCCCCTAAATGCATTAACCCACTTGCTTGTTGTTTTTTCTGCACAAAAGTGCATAGTTTCCATCAATGCCATTATATCAAAAATATATCAGTTTGGCTTTAAATGTTTTATAATCTGTTTATGGTATAAATAACAGGACACGTGCCTTCGAACCTCTTCATTACCAACAACCTCATTATTACCAGCAAGTATAAGAGCACATGTCTCTGCCAGGTACCAATTCCACCCATTAAGTATGAAAATGACAGGCCCCCCACCCCTTTCCTAACAGTAATGGGAGTGTAAAAGATTATACCATCCCTACAAGTGGAGGGGGGAGGGGGGGGAGGGGGGGGGAGGAGGCAAGTGAATGAGTGCCTCTTACTCTATTAGCTACAGAGTTTGGTATAAATCTTTCTAAACACCTTTATTCTAGAAATGTGGACATTACACTCATATTATATAGTTCTTACTAGTAAGCTATGCTGCTGGTAATGTCTTCAGCCTCCTTACAAATTCCTACAGGTAGAATATGTGACAGTTTTGACTTGATTTCTGTAAACTATGAACAAATAAAAAGGATAGTGCAGAATTTTAATTGACATGGTATATACAGCAGATCTATCCACAGAACTGATGTTTAATATCATTATCCTAAATACCAATTAGAGGACAGCAAGCTAGCTGTCATTTTTTTTTTAATGATTGGCGGCGAAGGGGTTAATCACCTTCAGACCAGATATTTGCATTAATGCTGTGAAAATAAAGGCAAGGTTAATGTATAATGCTCCACCCTGAAATGTAAAGGTCCTATGGTAATGAGTCAGAGCATCCAATTGGAATATCAGAATGTGTTTTGAGGTTGCTGTTTTTGTTTTTGTTTTTGTTTGTGTTTGTCTGTTTTTTCCTGTTAGTGCTGTGATAAAAGCATTGCTAGCACAGATAAGTTCAACCACTGGTCTGATCTTCCGATGATCTAGCATTGGATACAAAGTTATTGTGATGATGAAATCTGTTCGTTGCATGGTGTTGGTGCCAAAGCTCTGGCCAGTAATGTTCGATGTTTGCGAATTAGGGCGGCTCTTGCAGGTTGTAACACATAATGTAGCTCTGTTCCTCGGATAGAAGTTCACTTGCAAGTTGAAGTGTGATAGACTAAAGGTTTGCTTATCCCAGCTGCTTCATTTACTCCACGGATAACGTCAATGACACCAGACCAAGTCAAGGAATTTAGCAAGGAATTAAATGGTAAGTCATCATTCATTATTTTGTTTATTATTTTCAAAACGTGATTAAGCTGTTTAGCTTCTGTGTGTGTGCAAGGCAAGCTTTATTGAAGTAACATATTGTGAAAATGTTAAAAAAAAATAATAATAACCAGTAACCTCTAAAATGCATTCACTACTCCAGATAAAAGGAAATGCTTCATCTACAGGGCAAAAAAAAACAGCCAATAAAGTTGACCAGAATAGAAAGAAAGAATTGGAAATCCCCTCCCCCCCCAAATATTGCAATTAAGATGTAAAGATGTCACTGTTTAGTGAATGGCACACATGGTATATAATCTGATCTTTTAATCAAAGATAACTAAATGTCTATTGATAAAGTACTAGCTATAAGATTTCCTTAAAGTAATAGCAATGTTTTGCTGCTGATATCTGAATTTGGAAATTTAAATAACAATGCATTGATATTAAAAAGGGGGATTGTCATTTTTTTTAATTTTTTTTTTTATAACTGTTTGAATAATTTGGAATTTCTGGATTTTCCAAAGGTTAAATGATTCAATGTTTAATCGTTCATTTGTTCATAAGAAAAACAGTGATCAATAATGAGAACTTTAGAATTGAGGAATTGAAGAACATTATAGAATTTCGACATTAGCAACAACTTTAAGTAGATCAATGTAGATTAGGAAAATAATGCAAGCAGAAATGGAGGCATGAGGTTTAATACATTCATTTGGTCAAGTAGACTGTGAAATGTAAAGCTCTGAATCACAATTGAGTTTACTCACTGAACACTAATTTAGAGTGAACTTAAAACCAGATTGAAGAATAAAGGCTAACATTATCAAATTGTGATTGTAGCCTAATTTTGTAGCCTAAATTTGCAATTGGTTTTCAATGTATTTATTGAAAAAACACCAATATACTGCAGAAGTCTATTGTATTTATTGTAGACCAGCTGTGTCAAGCCTGTACCACTCACTGTTATCAGATAGCTATGCAGAATTCTATTAAAGAACTTTCAGAGTTCTGTCTAACTCAACAGGAAGCCTACTGACGGACAGCCATCATTCAGGCTTTTTTTTAACATTTGCTGCATAACTTGAATTGTTGCAAAAATCTCAGGATTCTGAGTTAAACATAATTCAGATGAGCACAAATACATTAATAAAACAGGGATCTAGGGTGCTCAATAACATTGAACGTTTAATTAAAGTTGAACTGTCACTACAACCCAAAAGCCAACTAAAGGACGGTTATGGTTTATGATTTAGCTCTTCTAGAATTTGCAATAGATATAGTTTTATAATTGATATAACAAGCCTTAAGCACAAGTAATCACACCCCTAGCAAAGTGGACTACAATGTTCCCTTAAAAGACCACTTCACATACAGAGCATTTTAGCTTGACTGAGTGCTTTATGTGTGAAGAGTGTGTCCTCTTTTTTTGTTTTACAAAAAATGCAGATTGCAATAGAAATTGACACTTTTATAAATTAACCTTGTTATTAGTGAGAGTGTTTGTGTCTGTCAGAGTGTGTGTAGGTCTGTCAGTGAGTGTATGGTTGTGTCTGTCTGTGAGTGTGTATCAAATAAGTGTGTGTGTGTGTCTGTTACACTGACTGTGTATGTTTAGGTGACCTGGCCCCCTCCAATCATATTGGAAACATGTTTCTACTTACCTTTTTTCCCACACCATGCTGGTGGCACTGTGATTTGTCCCCCCTCCACGGCTGAGATCATCAGTCTTGACCATCTCAGCTAATTCAATTCTTCCACATAAAAAAGCACTGGGAGACTATTGTGCATCCACAGCAAAACACCACGCTGCGCCAATCAACTTCCCCTCATAGAGATGCATTAAATTACTGTAAGCATTGACGTAGGTGCACACTGTGCAGCACTGACCCCGGAAGCACCTCTAGAGGCCGTCTGAGTGACTGTCACTAGAGGTTACTAGCCACCAATGTAAACACTGTCTTTTGTCTGAAAAGACACTGCTTACATTGAAAAGCATGCAGACTCTGAATAAAAAACTAAATAAAACTTTCAATAAAACATTTGCCCTGTTTTGCATCGATTAATATTGAGATTTATGAGTAAATTGAAGATCTATGAACGGAATGTATACTTCAACATGGTTAACAGTTTCCTGAGCCTTTCTTATGAAAGACTCGAGACTCTGCAGTATTTCATTTCCATTCTGTGATACCGTGCCACTAAACTTTCCGTTCAAATTCACAAGAGCCAACAGTGTTAGAGCCTATGCAGCATATTTCAGGAAGGACACCTGGAAAGAATAACATTAAAGAATATGTTTGACAGTATTTACATATGTTGTGCCAATCTGCCTGTTTACTTGCAAAGTTTTATTTTATATGCTTCTCCTGCTCACAAGAGAACCAGCCAAAAAGCCATTAATGGAATGACTTAGGACAGGGATGTATGAAACGTTCAGTGCTTGGTCAATATTTCAGTTGGGATAGCTGGGATTTCCCTGTGGGCACAAATGGTCTTTAACCCCTTAAGGACATATGACATGTGTGACATGTCATGATTCCCTTTTATTCCAGAAATTTGGTCCTTAAGGGGTTAAAGAAACTGTCCCTAACAAGGTTATTCACCAAACTGAGAATTCTTGGTATATCAAAGTGGATTATTCACTAAAGGGAAAATTGCTGGAAACTCAAACTCCATTTAAATTTTAAGGCCAGAGTGTCGGAACTGGAAGCATAGCTGACTTGGAGAATTATTCCAGTTTGGCTACTTTCCCCTTAAATTTTTAAATTCACATTGTAGTCCTGCCAATTCTCCCTTAAATGGATAACCCTGTGAGTTCAGCAAGTCAGTTTCAGAAATCTGAGTGAAATAGATACATATTATGTGAAAGTTTTTTTTACTGATTTCATACGGTGATTCTGAAGTGTAAAACGAATACATGTGAAGCAGCCAACTAGGAGATATATACTTTTTCATATCCATGGTGACTGATCTACTCTTATGACTTGATCCTGGAAATTCTCATACCATGAAACACTGACATGATTATTTAAGTGAGAATTTAAAATGAAATAAAGTGAATTTCAGATCAAGGGTCAGAGTAGCCAGACTCAAAGCATGGCTGACTTTGACAATTCACTTTAAATCACATGCCTGTAAATCAATGAGTTTGTTGAACTGAGATCAAGCTGACATACACCAAGAGTTAGTGTTCCCAGCTCCCCAGTACGATGGGCCACTTTGTGATCTCCGGTTGATGCAATTTAAAATGCCGAAATAAAGATATATATATATATATATATATATATATATATATATATATATATATATATATATATATATATATAATGTGGTTTTTTTATTATTATTTTGAGGATTATCTGGAATAAATACAAAATTTTAAAGAATATAAAAATCATTAGTTTCATATAAATTTTGAGACATTATTTTATTAGCATGGATAATTTGGATAATTTGGATAATTTATCTAAGACTTGGCAGATGCAATGATACTACTTAAAAAATAGATTAATGACTGTTTCTCTCTGGAGACAAAACTCTCTTGATTATTAGAAATATCTTCGAGGATACAGGAGGGAGTGATATAAAAATTGTGCATTAGATAATAGAAATTAGTCCATGTTAATGAATTACTATAATGTATCCATGTAGGGTAATGAACGTTTGCTTTGTAGTGGATCTCCCCTAGGGAGATTATTCAGTGAGCAATTAGTTGTGATTAGTAGATAGCTGTACAATTAAAGGCATATTCCTCCACCGTAGTCGCAGTCTCCCTTCCTCTCGGACAGAAAATGGCACATGCGCAGCAAAGGCTGCAAATAAACCATTCAAATTGCATGATCGCCCCATAGAATGCTTCTCATAGGGAAGCATCAGACTGCTGCATCCCTGTGAAAATGTTCACTTGTTCCTAAATCAATTCATAAAAGTTCTAATTTCTTTTGAAAATTTTACTTTTTTGAGTTGAAAATAGAAAATCGGGCCTCTTGTTAAGGGACCACAATAGTTCAGGAGTAGTTAACCTTCAGCACCCCAGATGTTGTGGACTACATCTCCCAGAATGCTCTTAGGGCCATAATGCTGGCAAAGCATCAGGGTAGATGTAGTCCACAACATCTGGAGCGCCGATGGTTGCCTACTCCTGCTCTAGTGTTAGGAGAATAAATGTGTGTTCCTAGCGTTAGTGATTTATCTGCTGTTTAGATTAAGCCCTCCATAAAATGATTAAATTATCATTGCCACTGCGACTTCTCCCATGGCTGATAGCATAGTTACTGATAATCTCAGCTACTTTAATGCGTTCCCATAAAGAAGCATTGGAGGCTAGTGTGCTCTAATCATCATGCCCTTATAGAAATTCATTGAATTAGCACGTCTCTGTAGAGAGCCTTGAGCGTCTTAATGCAGAGCGTGAAGTCACTGTATATCGGCCAAGTAAAGATTGTAGGACAGGACCAGGAAGCCCCTCTCGAAGCTGTCTGAGTAATAAGCTAAATAAAAAGGCAGTGTGTATGTTGCAGAGACTGTAGGGACAGTCCCTTTGCCAGAAGGGACTTACATTAAGTTGGAGAGGTTCTACTGCTTAGCGTCTCTTTTACCCGTAAAACACTAAGCGTGTTGAAATGCTTTAGGACTGTAGAATGTCCCTTTAACGGCAATATGGAAGAGTTGATTTTTCCTATCTATATTAACGTATCACCCAGAATCATACTAGTTATGGTTGTCAATCTGATTCTTATTTAAAAGCTTTTTAGATAAAAGATATTTAGAATATGCACCTGCATTTCATATAATATGAGTTGTGCATATATATTCAGCTACAACTTTTGACATTTCACATCAGTTCCAGATGTCGGCTCAAATGCTTTCTTTTACTAAACACTATCAAATCAAGCTATAAAAGTTGCTAAATTATGGATTTCATTGACATTTAAATTTACATTTTCAATTGTGTGGATGACATGATTGGCTTCACACGTGTCATAAGATATAAATTATTAATTGTGCTTACAAATCACCAGTAAGCATATAGATGAAAATATGTTCAACATAAGGTATATTTCTGTTGCTCTGCTTTTGGCAAAGAAAGCATCCATTCGCCCCTCTTCCTGCTGTCAAACAAAGGACAGCATGCTTGTTCTACTTAAAATTTCACATGTTTCTAATTCAACAGTGACTGTCATCTGAATCACATATTCTAAAGGGACCTTGATAAAGGCGAGATAACGCCAAGACCAGTTGGTGAGAATATGTACAGTGATTGGCGAATTGTTTACTGTATAATTTAAAACATAAAAGTAAGAAGCATTGTCATTAGTTTGATATGGCAGAGCTCCCTCCTTTGCTTTATCTGCAGATCTGTTTAAGGGACGTTTTGCCTTTCAGATTGCTCAGATTGAGAGGAATGCTGAGAAACCACATGAATAGACTTTGGTTAGATTTTATTGACTTATATTGTCTCATATTTTCAAGTTCAACATTAGTTGGCTACAAAATAAACGAACCTTATGGTATCCAGTGCACGATGTAATGTAAGATGATTTTGGTCTAATCTCTGATGGAGGCAGATACATCTGTTAATAAATTTATTTTATAGATATTCGGTACATCATTTAAAAAAAGCTGTCAAGTTTTAAGTTAGATTTTTTTTTTTTTGTTTGTTATAATATACAGATGTTCTCCCTTGTTCTTTTAAAAGCTGCTTTGTCATATTTTTATGGTAGATGCAATTAAAAGTCATTAATAAGGATAATCTAAGAACCATATCCTCTGCAGCTCATTGTAGCATTTTGGTTTTAAAAAATGTAGCTTTTTTTGTGTTAAATATTTTGAGCAGTTTCTCACATATAAACTCTCTGCTGCTACTTAGACAACCATGCCTTTTAGCAGTGGGGTACACACAATCCATGGGGCCCCGGTGCGAAACTGCTCTGTGCCCCCCGATCCATGGGCCCCCCGAGACATACATAGACACAAACACATACACACAGACAGACACCCCCCCGACAGACACATACATACACACATACATACCTACAGACACACACATACATATACACAGACAGACACATACATACACACATACACACACACAGACACATACATACACACAGACATACACATACAGAGACACAGACACACACACACATACAGAGACACACACACACATACAGAGACACAGACACATACAGAGACACAGACACACACAAAGCAGAGACACACACATACATATACATACATACAGAGACACACACATACACAAAATTCTTCCTACTTTCCCTGGGGTCCAGTGGGGGTTCAGCCTGATGGGAGTCAGAGTTCCCACTCTGAGTCCCTCCTCCTTCCTGCTTCCTCCCGCGCGGGCTCTCTGTATGCTGGGAGGAGTGACCGGGGAGTCACTTCCTCCCAGCAGCGATGATGTAATAAAGGGGGCCCGGTCGCGCTGGTAAAGCACCCAGCGCAGACCGGGCCCTCTCATAATCCATATCCATCGGGTGGCCCTGACAGTATGGGCCACCCGATGGACCCCTTAATACCGGGTTGCGGGGGTCTGCAGGACGGCCGGGCCCCTTGGAGTGACGGGCCCGGTCGCAGCTGCGACCCCTGCGACCGCGGTATGTACACTGCTGCCTTTTAGTGAATGCATTACCCATATAAAGCTGTCAAATGTTTTGCCTACAGGGTGGCTTTGGAATACTCTGCAATCTTTGAATACTGGGAGAGCCTCAGTTTTTTTAAACTGGGCCAAAATAATTTGGCAAAAAATTTAGAAATAACACCCCAAGATTTTATTCATGTCAGAACCATTTCAATAAGCTATAGTGATTGTGGTGTTTTGAGTACCCCCTTAACATTCACAAATTTTAAATTTAACCACATTGTAAACATCTTTCTAATCAGACCTAGAATGATAATACACCTAAAAATATGTTGTTGTTTTTAATCTAAAGGTTATAATAGACTACATAATATCAACACTGTTCACTAAGCAAACATTGTAAACACATTTGGAATTGCTCAATTTAAACATTGATCTTATCAGAGACATGTGTAGCACACTATGTGAATTCAGAATTCAGAATGTACAGCAACATCTTTTGCAACTCAGCACAATGGAAATTGCACACGCCTAGATTAATATCTCTCTAAAAAGTATATTGTTTTATTTAAGTGGCTACATATTACATCCAAATGATCAAACATACATTGCTCTTATTTATAACTAATCACTCTGCAGTTTTCTGAACAATATTTTTCAGGTTGCTCAGCCAGCTACAATACATGATTATATTGACTAGATGCATCAAAACAAGCAAGCAGAATGGGTAATTGTCCAATGTATAACTGGTCAGTTTAAGCATAAAAAACACCTTAGTTTAATAAAGTGGTTTTGGTGCATAGATCATGATTCATGTCATGTAGCCTCGTTGCTCTTTTTTCTTCTACTTAGGACATAAATCCCTCTATCTCCCCCTGCTGTCACTCACGCAGTTTTTCTCTTTACGTTTTTCTCCTAATGTTAAAAAACAATTTAGAAAACTTGAGTACAGTTGTCCAATATGGTCAGAGACATGCATAGTATCTAAGGTACCCAGAACAGAAATCTCCTTTGACATCTCACCCAAATTAAAAAAAAAAAAGTAAAACGGGTGTGGGTATATTTTTTAAGAAAATCATTTTCAACTGGTTTGTGAAAACTATTTTCATGAGAACCAAAGCCAATTATTTTTGATTGATATAACATAATCTGTCTTGTTTCCCTTTCTGTCTCTCACTTGTATGTCACTTTGCATTTGATCTCCTACATGTGTCTCCTACCCCTATATTTCCCCCGATTGTGTCTGCCTCTTCATCTCTTCCCATTATTTGTGCCTCAATACTCATGTGTTCCCACTTCTATACTTCCCTCCATCATCTCCCACACTTATATCTCTGTCCCTTACCTTTATTTATTACTTTATAAAGCGCCAACATATTCCGCAGTCCTGTACATTTCAAAAAAAGACAATACAATATAAACAATACAAAAAGTAAAGTGCCCTGCCCATGAGCTTACAATCTAAAAATTAAAATGGGGAGATGGGACAAGAGGTTGCAGAGAAATTTGGAAGTGATGGCAGAAATAATTAATAGTATAACTGCACTGTGAAAAAAAACCCATATTTCTTTGTCCCAGTTATTTTCCCTGCGTTCGCTAGATTGATCTACCGAACACTGACCACCCCCTGGCTCATTTCCAGGAGAGTACTGTTCTGTAGGATGGTTCACACGAACAACTACCTATGAGCCAGGGGAACCGTTCAACTTTTGGTTTGGTTTGAAACTCCCGAAGGTGATTGACCACTACCACGGATTCTCTGTAACTAATTTGGGCAGATGCCACTTGTGCAGTCAGTGAAAACTTCACCCCGATGTTCGTGGGATCTGAGCGCTATTTGGATATGTTGGGAGCTCAGATCCAGGCTATCCGGGGATATAATATGTGTGGGGGTTCCTATGTATGCTATATGTATTTTGGGGTATTTTATGTTTTATATTTTGTACCTCTAGTGTCTGGGAGATAGTTAGTTTAAAAAAGTACACTCAATTATCTCTCAGACACAGAGACTACTGGGCGTGTTGTGGGAGTGTTTTGCTATGTTACTGCTGGAGACCACATGGCTATTGGGCCATAATAAAATATTCCTGTTGTACCCTTCATCAATTCTTGACTGATGTTTGGGTATGTGAACGACAAACCACTTGATATTTTTTTTTTTTTTTAATTCTTTATTTTTGGTTTGACGGAGTAGATGGTAAACATGAAAGCAGTTACATTTTGGTACATGACAGCGCAGTGTCATACATTAGCGTATCGAATGCAATTGACAGTTGTCTGTTTAGGCATATCATATACATCAAGTTTTCTGTGGGGGTCTTCGTCTGAACTTTTGGTATAGGTGGCAAGCAGTGTTAACTATATACAATAGCTTTGGTGTGAAGGGTTAGGCTTAGAGAGTAGAGTGTCAGTCCCCCCGCTTCCTGTGGTATGCGACTGCGCCCTCCCTCCCTTCTGCGCTACGCAAAATGTTGGCGTGCTTTTATTTGCCTTTCCCCTCCTGCCAACTTGCAGGTCTGGGGTGCTTGCCTTCAAGGGATAGATAGAAAGGAAAAGTAAAGAGTTGGAGACAAGTACATGCGTGCTTAACAGTTTCAGTTTGATATGGTTACCGGATGAACTACCGACGGGGGTGGTCAGTTCCCTTAAGCCAAACCACTTGATTTTAACCACGATCTACTGGGATTTCGGGAGAGTACGAACTAGCGTACTATGGGAATGGGCTATAATCAATAATGTACATGGGGATTTAGGCCAGAGCGCAGGTAACGTTCTCTTTGTTTTAACTATGTATTTTAAGCCGTTGGATCCTAACCTACTGCTCAAAACATGCAACATGCACTGGGAGTGGAGAGAGGATGAGCTCGACTTCATATTGGCAATATGACTTTCAGTCCCCACTCCTTCCACTTACAGTGCGTGGTGTGCAGTCTATACTGTGCTAGCGCACCAAGAAGAGGAACACACATGGTCCAGCCTTGTTTTGATACAAGGCAGAGTCAGGATAGGACCTTTCTCTCCGTGTTCTAGTAAACTGTTATGTTACTTTTTTGACACTTCTGGCCACAGAACTCTTGTCAACTTGCCCACAGTGGATGTTTAGTAAAGAAATTATCAATTTTCCCAAAACAGATAAAACTAGACAAAATAGCAGTTCACAAGAAATGTATCACCATTAACTAATGCTACAAATAAATACATATTTCACTAAAAAGTTAAATAGTTTTTGAAAAAGATGACAAATTCCAAATCTATAATACATTTGTAAAGTTACATAGTTACATAGCTGAAAAGAGACTTGCATCCATCAAGTTAATCCTTCCTCACATATGTTTGTGCTGTTGATCCAAAAGAAGGCAAAAAAACTCATCTGAAGTGCTTCCAATTTTGCAACAAACTCTGAAAAAATTCCTTCTTGACCCCAAAATAGCAGTCAGATGTCTCCTTGGATCAAGCAGCTATTACCCCACCTAATTAGAAATTATATCCCTGTATGTTTTGTTTTTGCAAGTATTTATCCAATTGTAGTTTAAACATCTGTATGGACTCTGTCAAAACCACCTCTTCAGGCAAAGAATTCCAGATCCTTATTGCTCTTACTGTAAAAAAAAAAAATATGTTTCTTTGCCTTATATGAAATCTCCTTTCTTCCAGCCTAAATGTGTGACCTTGTGTCCTTTTGTATAGCCCTGTTTATGCATAGATTTTCAGATAATGGTTTGTACTGGCCCCAAATATATTTGTATAATGTAATCATATCCCCTCTGAGGCACCATTTTTTCCAAAATAAACATATTTCATTTTTTTTTAACCTTTCTTCGTAACTCAAATGCTCCATTCCTTTTATCAATTTTGCAGCTTGTCTTTGCACTTTTTCTAGTGCCATGATATACTTCTTTGGAACAGGTGCCCACAATTGCCCAGCATATTCAACATGTGGTCTTACCAGCAATTTATAAAGAGGCAAAATTATATTTTCATACCGAGAATTATTGCCCCTGTTTATACATGACCCTTGTTTATAAATCATCTCTTAACCAGCTCAATGATCTTTAAAAAGTAGAATTAGCCATAAGTAGTTTGAAATGCAAAACAGATCCAGGCCCAAGTGACTTAACTCCTTACCGTCATTTCATGCAGTCCAAAATCTGTTATGGCTGGCTAGGGTTTGCTCACAGTGAAGGTTTGCTCACAGTGATGATGGTGTTAGTTACCATTTGCCCACGAGGACTGTCTGATAATATTATGCTAAAACATCATCGGTGTCAAACTGGGCACAACTAGAAAATCTTTTCGGAGGTGAAGGCATTTGATAAATAACATGCAAAATGTCAAACTATAAAAATAGATATGATAATACATACAACATATGTATAAAGTGAATTATAAAAAACTGAGACTATTTTTTTTTTATTTTTTTTTAATAAAGGGTCAACCAGGTACATGGTACACCTATGTCTTCACTTGTCATTAAAAAAATAAAATAACAAGATCAGCTGACACTTTGAACATTGTTTAGCTTGTTTGATTTATTAATATTTTCTTTAGAGTAGACAAAACATTACACAACATATCGGAAGTTTTGTATCTGTTTATTTTGTCCTAAGTAGTAGAACGTGTCAGTGCTTCCCTTTATCACACTTGTTGTAAATATTTACCATCAACCCTTTGGTGACAGAAATATTTAAATGTTAGAAAACAGGGTGAGCCCAATTCTAGCAAAAATATCCTTATAAGCAGATGATATTGGTGTTAACAGAGCCAACATCTTTGTTTAGAGAAATTGAATTATAACATTACATTCTCATTCAATGATGACTATACACTTCAGTTCAATTTTATTACTCCGATTAAACAAAAGTCAAAACTTGAAAAATCATTTCTTTGAAAACAAGTTCATTAAAACCCAACGTTATAAACAATCTTGCCTACATATTTCATATGATGCCATTGATATTACACAAAATCTACCTAATTCTCTTTCAAATTACTAATAGTAACATCACACACAATAGCTTGAGTGAAAATGGAAAATCACTTAAGCAAAGTTTATTTATATGGAGAATGGACAAAATATTTCACTTAGGTCAATCAGACTGAACATATTCTTAACACGGTCAAAGTTCATTATACATCCCACATCATTATGAGACATTCATAAACGACCTGAAAATGTTGGATATTTTATTAAGGGTTTATTGATCCGAACGGGACAACTATTTTGAAAAGATCTTGTACATTTTGCAAGTTAAGATAAGTACTATCCCCTGTATAAAGGAGAAACAAGAACATTAAATATTCTCATATTTAAAATACATCTTCTGGGTCAAGTTGGACAAAAATCAGACATATTTTCAGAGGTGAAGACATTCGATTATCAGCATGCAAAAATTAAAACTATACAACTGGATATGATAAGCCATACAACATATGTATAATGAATAAATGTAAACATATAATAACTTAAATTGCTAAATATGGAAACTATGGTGTATGTATGGGGAAAATAGTTAAATTAGGTGTCATATTTGTCATGTAAAATGCTCAAAAATTGGATAGAATGTACTATTGGCAAGTCTTATAGAAGCTGGTCTTAAAGAAGCAGACACCTAGTAGATATTGGTAACAGATATCAGACGACACATAGTCAACTAACATAAACAGAGACAGACCAAACCAAGGTACCAGAAAACCGGTGCCAAATTAAGACCAAAAGAATGAAGAGCCAAAAGGTGGTGTTACACTGTCAGCAGCACTGGGCTATATTTCTGTATGAAGAGCTTTTCAAACTGAAATGCTGCAGACTACAAGCAACCATAATCAAGACATTTAAGTGGTCATGGTGTTTGGAGTAACTCAATGAAGCGGTCTAAGTCCAGTGTCCCCGTCCTTTTAACCCTCCAATTGCAGTTTTTGTCTACATTGCAGTGTTAAGTCCTCCTATGGTAGTATGACAGCCAGTAGAGATGCTTCCTTAAGACTGACCAAGTAAAATATAATGCAGCTGCCCCATAGGAAAAGCCTGACTCGATGTGTTCCTATGGAAAAAGTTTGAATGCACGGCCCTTGTTGCGTATTTCTATTAGGTCCCCAATGATCATCTGTGAGAAGCATTGGATTGGATATTGCAGAGGAAGCCTTGCCTTCTCCATGTGGCCGTTAGTGGAGGATTTGGTGTATTCCCAAACTATATATATTATGTATGCATACACGTATAAACTCTGGTCCGTTTACTTTAACAAATATTTATTCGGGGGACAAAACAACAACATACAAATAATGACATACAATCTAACTAAAACAATAACAACAACCACAATCTAACCAATTAACTATAAGAACTAAACCTTATAAAGTCATCAGATCCCACTCACAGTTCACCATGATAAAAAATAGCCCATGTCTGCTTACATGTCTGCTCAGTAGCACAGGAAGGAACAGGGAGGAATGGAGACAAGGGGAAGTGGTTATCTTTCCTGACTTGTAAAGGTATTGAATTACCTAATTACCATATCAAAGGGTACAGTTTACCCCATGTAAGAAAGGCATACATGAGCTTGGTCCCATGACCCCTGGTCACCATATTAGTTTGATGGCAGAATGTCACCACAGAGGAGAGTTGAGCAGCTGAGCTAAGCAGTCCCAAGTAAAACTTTATATTTTAGCTTTTTTATTTTTGCACAGGTGAGAATAGGCCTGCCTACAAGTAGGGACATGGATATTATAATGTAGCATTCCTATAGAGTTCCTTTCATCAGATTGCATAGTATTAGTAGATAAGCATAGTGGGTAGATAGTAGCTAGCAACATCATTTTTGGGAACGAACCTTTGTAATATAAACAGAAGAGGGGTATGCAAACCATTGGAAGACGCCCACTACAAATAATGTATGATCACTAGCATGGTAATTTATACATGGCAAAAAAGACTGATTAATCCATTTTTAAACATGCCTACATCCAGTATTACTTTAATCTCGGGTCCAAAAAGCTTAAAATTACATAAATTTAGTTCCATCACAGACAGATGGGACATAGATAGGCAAATCAATATAAAGTCTGAGAGTTAAACTAAATACACCACTAGCTAGACAAATAGAGAGAGAGAGATGGATAGAGTAATAGAGAGATGGAAACATGCTATAATGACATTTGATTGTGTAACCATGGTGGCTAACTAGTGTGTTAGGTAAGAAAGAGAACGAGAACAGACTGGCCATCACTCATTCTTCATAAATGCTGTAAAGCAGAACTAACCTAATAATAATACCACCAGTTTCATCATACTGTTTTCAATGCTTTCAAATGTCACTTAACAGTCAGTTAGCTTAACTAAATTAGTCAGTTAATATTTAAATAGTTATATTTAATCAAGTTATTATTTTTTTCTTTTTGAAGGTTTGAAATATAAACCCTAAAGAAGACATGATGTTGAATGCAACAGGCAATCCACTTGATGAAATCTGCAGTATCAATGAGTTCCGGAACAAAGTCTATTCTACAGCCTATTCTATGTTCACACTGTTTGGACTTATTGGGAATAGTTTTGCTTTGTTTGTTCTTCTGAAGACCTACAGCCAAAGAACAGCCTTCCACATTTATATGCTAAACCTTGCCATCTCAGATCTGCTTTTCATCCTAACTCTTCCTTTCCGAGTGATCTATTATGTCAACAATGGAAAATGGTTCTTTGGAGATTTTATGTGTCGGATGTGCTCCTATGTTTTTTACGTCAACTTGTATTGCAGCATATTCATTTTGACAGCAATGAGCGTCACACGATTTCTTGCAATAGTGTTTCCGGTTCAAAACCTTAAACTGGTGTCTGTTAAAAAAGCCAAGTGGGCTTGTGTTGGAATATGGATTTTTGTCACGGCTACAAGTTCACCATTTCTAATGACAGGCTCTCACACTGATCCAGACAACAACAAGACAAAATGTTTTGAGCCACCACGGAATGCAAAAAATTTGCTTGCACTAAACTACGTCTCCTTGATTATCGGGTTTATCATTCCATTTACAATAATTGTGATTTGCTATACCATGATTATAAGAACATTGCTACAGAATTCTATGAAGAAACATCACTCTTCCCGTAAGAAGGCTGTTCGGATGATTATCATTGTTATGACCGTTTTCTTTCTGAGTTTTATGCCATATCATCTCCAACGTACGATACACCTGCATTCCATTAAGGAAAATAAGAGTTGTGAAGAAAAGTTGTCAGCCCAAAAGAGTGTGGTCATAACACTGGCCCTTGCAGCCTCCAATTGTTGCTTTGATCCTTTGCTCTACTTCTTTTCAGGAGAGAACTTTCGGAGGAGACTATCTACTTTCCGTAAACAATCTGTAACAAGTATGGCGCAAGATTACAAAAGGAAGAAGTCAGGAAGTTTACAAGAGAAATCTGAAGTGTTTAATCAACTTGAAAAGCAGCACAGTAATGAAAGCTAAGACGGAAAAACTTGATTGTCTTGGGTTTAGGGCACAACCATTAAAACAGACTGCCCATTTTAGGCTTTATTTCCTTGGTGAATGCTCATCTTGAGGTAACGGCCATCAATGTAAAAACGGCAACAGCAGAGCCGACTCCATTCTTTCTTGGTATTACAAGGTTTGAATTTTTTTCTAGAATATAATGAGCAGAGACTCTCAAAGGATTGAGGAAAACAAGGTTAATATAATAATGAAAAACCTTCCAGGCAAACTTGTATATTAATATATTTTTTAGTAGTTGATATAGTATACTTTTTTTGAACAGGAGGTACTATGTGTGATTCCATAAATCCAACAAAAATTGTGTTTCTGGTCACTTTTAAATAATTAGATGAATGGTTATAATTCATGAAAAATAATCCCAGATCCATTTTTTTTTCAACCTATTTTAGCGATTTTAGCCTTAGAGCAAGCAATCACACTTTAATATGGACCTGTTTTTTTCATCCCATAAAAATTATCTGGAATATAATTAAAATCAAAGAATATCAATGTATATTTTTTTGTCTAGTAGTATTAATTTATTAGCCAATTTCTCTAGGTGTATTCATTTAATAGCCAATGTTTCAGAAGAAGACTGAAGAGCTATATTTGTTATTGTGTGTTTTCGTAAAGAAAAAGATATTATGTTTCATCATTTTGCACTATATTATTTTACTAGCTCAGGATGTCTATAAAGTAGGGAATTTAATTTTCCATACATGATTTCAGAGTGTAAAACTAGCAGTAACAGAGAAAAAAGGTATCCAATCTCAAAAATCGGAACTGTGGCAAATTGAAAAACCGAACGGCAAAATTTAGCAAATTTGTGACTGTTATTGAATTTGAGAATTTTTTGGCCTAATGTTTGATACAATTCGGAGTTCCGTCAATAAACTCTTGTTGATTTTTGTCCATTGATCCAGTAGTATCAGTAACTGAATTTCACGTGAACGCATAGAGATTGTGCATTACCATATGAAGAAGGCACTACTAGCCATGTTGAACCAAAATCATGATAAATTAATCCCCGTTGACTGCAAAGAGAATTTATGTTTTAACCTCACCTAAACCAGAATATATAGTAAGAAACGTCAGTGACATCAGAGTCCACTGATGTTCACCTGATACTTCCAACACTGTGTAGACTTAATGACGTGTTTCATGGTCTCAACGCATTTTGCCAATGGCACAAAAAAAAAAAAACTTTTATGAGAATAAGTAGATTGAGAATGGACTTGGCATAACTTGTGGTTTAGTAAACAAAGCTTTGGAGAGGACTTGGCAGCACTTGTGGTTTAGTAAACTAACCCACAGATAATTTATTCTCAGGCTTTAATAAAAATAGTATATGTTTGCCTATTTGGATAGAAGGAGTTTAAACTGTGATAACTGTAGCTTGATTTACGTGTTATGGTTCTTTGGCTACTTGTAGTCAGTGAAAATAGTGAGCGAGAGAGACTGTGTGTTTGTGTGTGTGTGTGTGTGTGTGTGTGTGTGTGTTATTTCATATAACAAAAAGCAGGAGAGAGACCTTTGGAGGCTTCTCATGTATTAGTTGGAAGTGTACCAGTAAAACAGTGTTTTTTTTGTATTTATTTCTTATTTGGGCAGTGGAGTGTTCCTGTTAAGTAAATAATCTAATAGCATTTAAGAAATTCAAAAAATATTGGATACACATAATACCAAATAAATTAACACAAATAGTGAGGTAGCTCAGTGGTTATATGCCCCAACTGCTGTATACCCAAATAGATTCATTCTTACCATTATCATACTACTTAACTACTTTAAAAAATGCCACATTGCACCCTTCCTGGTGAAATAATTGAGGTTACCATTTCCCTTACAGCCCTGTAACTTATTCCCCTAAAGAAGTGAGCCCTAAGTCAAGCACCTATTACTATTTGTATATATTTTAAAGGCACGTGCAGGTATTACAGAGCTGAATTAAGTTTCTAAATGTTAAAATGAGTGTTTGAGAGTTTATGAAAAGCCATGTTTTGTAAACATATGTACAGTGTTTGTGATACATTGTTTGAGATATAATTGATGGTTTATTGTGGTATGTATTATGTGAAATATGTAACTTATAAATAACATATTTGCTTTGTGCTAAATAAACTGCTATAATAATCTGAAACTGTACATGTGTGCTGTTATAATTCATTAACAGTTTGTTTTCAGGTGGGATATTATTTCCCAATATTAAATGTTTTTGTAATTATATCAAATTCCTGGATCTCTGGAATCCAAATTGATCAATAAATTGTCGCTCATTTCTATATATATATATATATATATTATTATTATTATTATTTATTTTATAGCTCACAGGTGTTCATTGAAGTCTGTATGTGTCAAGAAAGATTGTCCTGAGTTGATCGATGACATTTTTATTATTTACGAAACAACATTTCTGAATTCTGGCAGCAACGGCAATTTTCATACTCATCAAAGACAAATACAGTCGAGGGGGGCGTGTCCTGGCGGGGGTACCGAGCGGTCGCATGAACTGAGCACTCCGCTCCGACGGCACCCACAAAGGAGCAATCCGGCTATTTAGCCGAAAAAATAAAAAATAAAAAATCGGGGCCCCATGCACCCCAGTAACCATGTCCCAGGCTAAAGGGAAGAGGCAGGCTGATAAGGCAGAACGGAGCGCATTTTTCGCCGCGCGGTCACAGCAAGGGAGACAGACCTTGCAGGGAGAGACCCAAGATGGCGCTGAAGAGGCTGAAACACAGCAGCACACTGAATCTGCAACGGACACTCCTATCACACAGGAGATGATGCGGGCAATGCTAGAAGAGATGTCTGCAAGGATAGAAAACAGTTTTAAAGCCACAATTGGGGCACTACATAAAGACCTAAGAGAATTGGAGGTGAGAACTGCTGGGACAGAATCCAAAATGGCAGAGCTACACGTGGCTCATAGAGAAATGGAGGAGGGACTGACAGGGCTACAAGACCAAATGCAGAGGTACGAGACGAAGCTTGCGGACATTGAAGACAGGGCACGCCGCAATAACCTGCGCATACGTGGGGTGAGTGAGGAGGTGGGACCCACGGAACTGGCGGCCTACCTGACGAGCCTGCTAAAAATGCTAGCGCCTGACGTACCACATGACATGCTGCTCATGGACAGGTTCCATCGGACCGCTAAGCCCAGCTTTCTCCCTCGGGACACCCCAAGAGACATTCTTATCAAAATGCATTACTACCATGTGAAAGAACTGGTGCTTCAGGCAAGCCGCTAGAAGAAAACACTCCCAGATCCATATGACGGGCTGCTGGTATTTGCAGACATATCGACATTCACGTTGAAACGCAGGAGAGAATTCAGAGGTGTCACAGAACAGCTCTGGCTCCACAAGCTGCCATACCGCTGGGGTTACCCAGTGAAAATACTGGTGTCCAGAGAAGGGAAAGTGTCAGCTATCAACACGCCAGAAGAAGGAGCAATACTACTCCAAAGATGGGGACTCCCCAAGCCAAGCCAACAACACAGCCCACAGAGGCCCCGCGGACCCTCCAAAGACTGGAGAAACTCCAAAAGACCGACATGAAAGACGTCACCGCAACTACAGCATCCCTGCAAGCTCTTCCACAGTGACTATTGAGAGACTGGTCCTGATAAATAGACCATGGAGACAACCAGGGGTATTGTATTAGCCATGTCTAATGTTTTGCCACAGTGTAATATATGTCTGTACAGGTATAGGCTGCACAATTCTTAGTGGCTCCCTACAGGGGCATTACTACACGGCTACAAGCCCAAAAAAAAAAAAAACACTCAGTGAGTTATAGAGTGGGTTGCACCGGAGACTACCCCCCCACAGGAAGGAAGCTACCACTTCCGCCTCCACAGGTACAGAGAGTACCTAAGCCGAAAATGGCACACCATTCTGTTATACACCTGTTTCATATGTTTTCCCAGTTATCACTTTATTCCCCTTCCCACCCCGGTCTAGCTGGGACCAGGCGATTCACACCCTCTACCCAGTACCCACAGGGAATTCACACCGCTGGCCAAGCTCACCAGCTCCTAATTCCTACAAGGGTACCCATGACAGCCCCACCTCCTTTTACTCGGCAAGGGAGATATGCCCGAACCCAACCCTCAACCAGGGGAAGGTTGCTCGTTTCGATGCTGCTGGGGTGAGCAAACCCCCCGTACTCACTCTTGCACAATTCTGCAACCCTTACCAAATCCGTTGGGTATAGACCTCCATGAAAATTTTTTCTCTGAATGTACGAGGGTTAAACCTACCGGTTAAGAGACACCTACTATATAGAGAACTCAGGGAAACGGATGCGGACGTCATCTGTCTCCAAGAGACTCATTACAGAACCGACAATTTTATCCCGCCAACAGCTACTGACTACCCACACCAATACCACGCAACATCCCCCACGAAATCTAAAGGGACGTCTATACTGATCTCTAAGCGGGTGGCATTTACCATGCTCTCCACAGAGACGGATACCAATGGGAGATACGTAATTTTGAAATGCACCATTAATAACATGACATATACAATTACTAACCTATACTCACCCAATACACTGCAAGGCACGTTCCTACGACAAATACTGCGGAAACTAGAATCGACACGGGAAGGGGTGTCCATTATTTGTGGAGACTTTAACCATGTCTGGGACCCAAAACTAGACACGAATATTTCAAAACACAGTCCAAGGTACAAAATACTCCACAGACAGTGTAAAAAGCTACAGAAACTCCTCTCCCTCCACCATTACTATGACACCTGGAGAATATCCCACACCTCGGAGCGGGCGTATACACATTTCTCCCATGTACATAATACATACTCAAGGATAGACGGGTTTCTCATTCAGGGACAAGGACTTAACCAAATCACAGACTGTGACATAGGACAGATTACGTGGTCAGACCATGCACCGATTACGCTGTCGGTGAAGGACCAATACGACTATAAGCACCGAAGCCCGTGGCGGCTGAATGTCTCCTTGTTGAACGACTTGACATTCACGAAAGAGGTAGAGGAGACTTTGTTAAATTACTTTAGAGAGAACGATACCCCAGGAATGTCCCAGGGCACACTGTGGGCCGCACACAAATCGGTAATTAGGGGTATTTTTATTAGAAGGGCGGCATACCTACATAAAAAATCCTCAACCCAGACTGCTGAATGGCAGAGAGAATTGTACCAACTAAACACACGCAACCAAATCTCCCCATCTACGGAGCTTAAACTACAAATATCCAATATTACTCGCAAATTACACCAAAAGGCGATAGAACAGACAGGATACAGGCTCCAGAGATTGAAAATGACACAATACACACAGGGGAACAAAGCTAGTAGACTACTGGCAAGGAGATTACAAGAACGTAGGGCGAACCAAAAAATCGATTTCCTTATGTCCCGTACAGGTGAGAAGAAAGTTATTCCTACAGACATTTGCAACGAATTTGCCAGCTATTACGCAGACCTGTACAACATACACAAGCATGACACCACATTTCAGCCCACAAAGGAACACATCAATGCGTACCTAGATACAGTAGACCTCCCGAAACTCACGACCCAACAAGCGACAGATCTCATTAAACCCATCACAGGGGACGAAATCCAGACTGTCATAAAAAACCTACCAAAAGGCAAAGCCCCAGGCCCAGACGGACTAGATAACACCTACTATAAAAAATTCAGTCAAACACTGATACCTCACCTAGTGCACGCTTTCACAGAGGCGACAGCCACACAGAAATTACCGCAAGACTCACTACTAGCCCATATTATTACGTTACAAAAACCAGGGAAGTCACCCACCATCCCCCAAAATTTCAGGCCCATCTCCCTGCTCAATACGGATGCGAAAATCTTCGCCAAGCTATTTGCGATGAGACTGAGCGCCCTACTCCCCCAAATAATCCACACAGACCAGGTAGGATTTGTGTCAGGGAGACAGGGAGCTGATAACACGCGCAAGGTATTGAACATACTGCATAGCCTACCCAGACTATACAAAGGGGGAGGAGTTATCATCTCCCTAGACGCCGAAAAGGCATTCGACCGCCTGCACTGGACATTCCTAGAGGCGGTCATGGCAAAATTTGGTGTGCCAGGAGAATTCAGGGCAGCAGTCAAAGCGTTATATAGCGCCCCGAGGGCACAAGTGCTCAACGCGGGCTTCCTATCCAACCCGTTTAGCATCTCGAATGGCACGAGGCAGGGATGCCCCTTGTCCCCTCTGCTGTATGTTCTAGCTTTAGAGCCATTAGCATCAAAGATTAGGAACCATAGTTCCATACATGGAGTGCGCATAGGGGACAAGGAATACAAAGCCAACATGTTTGCGGACGACGTGCTCCTGACCTTAACGCAACCACTGATATCAATGCCACACCTATTGACAGCGATAAAAGAATACGGAGACAGTTCGTACTATAAATTAAATGTGTCCAAAACACAGGCCATGGGAATTGGGATACCTGAGAGCACACTACAGGAGTTGCAGGGGAAGTTTGTGATGGACTGGAGGACGGAAAGCGTTTCCTTCCTCGGAATTAAGTTAACTAAGACAATAGGGGGACTGTTCAAGGCAAATTACGAAGCCCTACAAAAAGAGATGGAAGCTAGTTTGGTCTCTTGGAAAGACAAACACATCTCCTGGGTGGGGAGGATGGCAGCTTTTAAAATGTCCATTCTCCCTAAACTACAGTACCTTTTTAGAACGCTGCAAATAGCTCTTCCATCCTCCTACTTAAACAAAACACAGTCAATGCTCACAAAGTTTGTATGGGCACACAAACGAGTGAGGATAGCGCCAAATACCTACACAGACCGGTTCACCAAGGGGGTCTAGCCTTACCAAATATTAAACTTTATTATCAGGCAACATTACTAGCCCCAGTGATAGGGATACAACTACCAGCCCCTATTCCACAATGGTTAGAAATCGAAGACCACTGGCTTCAAGGGACAGACCTCAGCAGATTGCTGTGGGTACCTAAACTAATGCGCCCCACCCAACCCCATATCTTACCCACCACAAAGACATTACTGATGACATGGGACAAAACACAACAGACGTTGACCTCTATGACTCCGTGGTCACCGGCAACACCATTG